AAAAAACAACAAATTGTATTAATATTTAATGAAAAAGAAAATAGTTACCAGTAGAAAGATGCTTACATCAATTCGCACCAGACCTTCAAAATCTCGAACATAATTTTGAAAATAAATTGCCTTCTGTTCTCAAGAGGTTCCAAAAATTTCAAAAATAGTTTTGTGATAGTGTGATAGTAATATTTATCAAGTAATTAATGAATCTTGCCTTAAAGCAAAATGCCAGTAACACCTATTCATAATTTTTTTATTTAAAAAAAAGACGTTTTATGTCAAATAGTATATTTACGCCCTCAATATACAAATAACATTCAATTAACAACATGTAACAAACTAATAATTATATTACATTAAGTTAATATAATTTAAATTTTATTATGCATTTAAATTAAATAGACTGCACTATCTTATCTTACTAAAGTTAATATTACATTTTATTTAGATTTATAGTTTTTACAATTTAAAATGGGATCACATTAAAATACTTTACAAAATAAATATCAAACCGTTTTTTGCCGTTTCTGTAAAGGTGTAGTAAATTATATTGCAAATAGAATTTTTTCAATTTTAATTAATTTATTACAATTTATGTTTTTTTAAATATATATTTATAGAGTAATAGTGGCCTGTGTATAGAAATAATAATTTTAATTTGAGCATTTTGAAAAAATAAATAAATTTGAATTAAAATGATTTTAAAGGGCTCACGTAGGTGTTAACTCTGTGTTTATTTCATTCATTTACTTTATCATTTTTATATCATATCATACAGATTTTTTCTACTTTCAGAAAGCATCTAAAATAATTTAACGTATTTTTTTAAATTGAGCATACTATATAATTTTTACCTCTCTTCCACTTATATTATTTTTATAAAACTTTTTACGAGAAAAGCTGTAATACAGAAACGGTCTTTATAAAAGCACTTGTGGTTCCTTAATACTAATTCGTACCTATTTCTCAGGGTTTAAAAAACAATATCAACATTAATTTCATCAAACATTATATTATTATATAAATATATAATAATTAAATTTTTTCAGCTTCGTCGGGATCGAACCGAGGAACCATGAATTGCCCAAAACGTTTCATTACGGCTTACTATATAAATATATAATAATATAAAGGGATAATTGACATTCTAAACCGAAGTGTATGAAATCCTTTTAATTATTTAATTGATAGTCCCAATCACTAAAAATTATGTAATGTTACACTTTAGGAAAAATGTAAGTTTGTAATAAATTATTCCTAACATTTTATTCTCAACCGTGGCTCTGTCAAAGTTTTTAGTTTAATTATTAAAATGTATAAGTTATTATCATATTAAAGAAGATGAAGCTTCTACCATCAAAATAATCATTAAAACAAACGTCAATTTATCAATTATAATAAATTAGACAAACCCAAATTGAATCTAGAACTCTTTTAGTATAATCATTCAGAAACCTGAATTTATGATGAAATTGTATTTGAATTTGTATTTAATTTCTGTATAGCTGCAGCACTTTATTTAAAATTGATTTTTGACTATAAATAATAAATTTCTATCCTTAGTTTTGAAAATAAAAACTAAGCATTTGTACAGAACATATGTTGAGAACTGATTTAGGATTTAGTGAAACTTCTTCCTAAATTACCAACCACATTTAAAAATAGTCAATATTAGAATCACATAAAAAATTATAAAATCTATTACATCAAGACTCTAGTACTTTCCATCCATCCTTTTTTTCAAAAGATGGTTTCACTTAACAAATTATCCTACATTTGTAATATATACAATTGACATTTTATTCTATCCTTATTAAACAAATATTTTAACAACAATATTACAAAGTATCATTATATCATATCACAGGTGGAATATTATAAAAAAATAATAATTACGTATATTAATTGACGTTGAAAATATATAAAAAATACATATAATATCTCTATTTAAGTAAGTAGGTACACCAATATACATTTATATATAAATTAATTTACATTTAAAATACTTTAAAATATTATAAATGCCGCAGTAATATCTTTGACAAATAATTAGTAAGTAAAGTTGCCAATTTTTGGATGCGAAATTATAACTATGTTATAATAAATATTATTAATATCAATTAATTATAAATCTTAAAGTTTATAACATAGTTAAATTTAAACAATCTCAGCCAATAAATTGACCCTTATATTTTAATATTTATTATTAACCAGTTAACTGTGATGTGCTCATTAAACAGTGTCGTCAGAAACGTGACGTGACGTGTATATTCGTCAAACATAAAGTAAGTTGCACAGTAGAGAAATATGAGTTTATTTAACAAAATTGAATATTATTACTATATTTTACTTCAGTAAGTTGCACAGTAGAGAAATATGAGTTTATTTAACAAAATTGAATATTATTACTATATTTTACTTCTTTGTTAATATAAGCATATATTACACACTTATTAAAATAAAAATATGAGAAATTCAATGGAATATTATACAAGTAAATGTATGAAAGTAAGAATAGTTTTTTATGAAAAGCAAAACTGTTTTTAAAAAGCTGTAAAAATATTATTTAAATAGCTAAATCCTAATTCTTATTACTTGCCTTAAGGCAAAATGCCACTTACAACTATTTCTTTCATACAGTCATAGCCCCAAAATATCCTAAACATCTTGCCATTACAGAATATAATTTGTTTTGCTCAAAATTTTCAATTTAAATAGCAAATGGTCAGTGTTTTATACGCTTGACGTGTATACTCGTCAACACGCAAAATTTTGCAACTTCTCAATGACGAGTATACTTGTCAATCACAGTTAACTGGTTAATATGCATAAATGCACCTCGTTTGTATAAATATATATAAATTGACAATTTATCTAATACAATTAATAAAATGTATAAAATCAATAAATAAATATTCTAATAAAATAATTTAAATAAAAAAACTAAAATCGATATCATGAACAAAATTACGTTAGACATTTTTTAGATTATTACCATGTTTTGTGGTCGCTCAAAATATATAAAATTTTATAAAACAATTACAAAAATAAAATTTAGATTCAACTTCGCACTTTAAATAAAATTTTGGAACTTAAGTCGTAATAAAATATATCGACTTAAAATCACATATTCTGCGAGTCGTCTGATATTTTGTATCTTACTAAATAATATATAAAAATTAACAAATAAAAATGTAAGTTAAAATAAATTTAACCCTTTCGCTACGACTGTCGTCTATGGACGACCTGTGTGTACGGATGTCGCCGTTATAGACGACATCCAGAGTGTCGAATGTGACAAATTTTGCTTTGTTCAATCAATATTTTTCACTCTGAATTAAATTACCATTTAATCAAAAATATTTTCTGTATTTCCATCAAACTACAACTGTCTTCATTCAGTAATGCATGACTGCATTCAGTAATTATTGTGACTAAAATAATAAATAAAATTTTAAAATTATACCCATTGGTAGTATTTTAAGTTAATCAATAATAATAATAACCAATCGATTGTGAATTTTATTTTGGTATTGCGGCTTTTTAATATTTTAAGTGCAAATTTTAATTTTTAAATACATATTCATTGATAAGTATTGCAAGATCTAAAAATAATTTTTGCAGCAAATATTTGGGTGGTATACTGGCTCGTACAGCAGAGTCACTTCCAGCAAAAGGGTTAAAATTATGAAATTAAGTGCCTATTACAATTACATTACTATTTCTAAATATTTTATAAGTTTTCCAAATCTTGAGTCAACGATGACTTAAAAAAAAAACTTCTGTACAAACAAAGGATTTTAAAATGTTTTGAAGAAAAAAATTTGGTGAATAAAGTCAAAAGTTCAGAGGTTCAAACTAAAATAGAATAAATTTTAGAATTAACAAAAAAAAACATTAATTCATGAGCCTATTCTCGGATACAAACCCTATGACAAGTTCACACCTAGGGACCGATTCTGCCGCATAACAGACAAATGTTATGGCAAGGCTATGTGTTATAAAGAATTTTCCATACTAATACGTTATAAATATTGACAAAAGCCATGTGGTTGCTGTGCAATCTGGCGTCAGAATAGCAAAGATTCAACACTATGTTATACTAGGATAGGCTCACAATTTATTTTTATGGATTGCTCGAAAAAACCTGATTGTAAGTTAATTTTCGTTAATTCACATAGCACCAAATTATTATATACATATTATATATATAAAACTTTTCTAATTATTCTTATTTTCATGGCTTTTCAAGCGTAAAAATATAAGACAACAATTTTCTGAGCATCAAAATATATATTGTAACGAAAAAATTTTTTAAGTATTGGCAAACATTGCAATTATGGTTTTACGGCCATTTCAAGAAACTATATATAAAACAAAAACATACCTCGGAAGTGCATTTTGAACCAGCGTGTTTTTCAATATAGTTGTTACCCAAAACTTAAAATATTGTATAAGAAAGCTTAAAACAAATTTTTTTCTAACTAGCCAAACGTTTGTAACAGGTTTTCTGGAGCCGAGAAATCTTTAAGATTTTTATTAATTTCCCGTAGGGTAAGTTCTAGTAATCGCAAAAAAAAAATCGAAAATGAAAACTTTCATACACTTTTACGTTTCAGAGGTTTCTGAACATTTTGGCATACCTTAGAAAAAATTAATGTATGAGTATGTAATAAACTTCTCAAAAATCTATTTTTTTTTTCAAAGTTTTGAACAGTTTTTTAATAACTTAGTTTTCTGTCCGGGAGTTCCAGCAATTTGCCTTAAGGCACGATGCCATGCACCACTAGTTTGTTCAAAATATTAGTTTTCTTTAATTATTGAAATTTTTGAGGAAAAGTTTATGAAAATGTGGCAAAAATCGGCAAACTTTCCCATATTGGAAATCCATATTTGTGATTGTTTAGCATTCAATAATTGTCTGAAAAATCTATCAAAACAGATGAAAGCATCTTCTGATAGTAATATTTGGTAAAACAAAAATTGGAAATTGATTTATAGGCTCGAGAAAATTCACTACTTGGCTTTTGCTTTTCTAATACTAAGAACTAGAGAAAAAAGTACAGAGAAAATGTCACTCATAATTCACTTTCAAGCTATGGTTTCTTCAGCAAAGTTTCTTGCAATGACCAGCCAAAAACCAAGAACGCAAAGTGCTCCCCATGATATATTAAGATTTATAATTAATTTTTTTACCAATTACTAGCTCCAGTTCATTCACGATCTAGTATCTGATTCCTTTATCAAACCGATGTCACAATCCAGAACACTACGATTTTTATACAAATCCGAAACTATAGCCAATGCCCCTCCTGGTATAAATCTCACAAAATTATCACCAACCAGGGGTCCCATTGCATAAAGTCCATCAGGAGCATTTAAAACTTTATTAGTAAATTTATTCACCGCGATTGGATTCAATCTGCAATCTACTGGTTTGTTCTGATCGACACCAATCCCTACTAAATCACCAGTATTAGAAAGTCTTACTGGACGAACCTCCGTTTGTGGTAAATGATTCACCATGGAGGACTGGTTTCTTAAAACTTTGCAAAATCTGCAAAAGGCACATCTTCTCAATTTCGCGTTGATCCTGGGAGCGATTTCCTGGTTTTCAAAATAAGACTCTATTCTGTTCTCTATGTAAGTTTTTTCATCAGACATATTATCAGGAAGGTAAGTCAGATCAGGTCTGGATCCGATCAAGATGGCGCAAAAAGAGACTATTATCTCTTTGCTGGTGTTGGTTTTTATATTAAGTATTTTTACACGATGTCCAGGCCTGGTTGGAGCAGATGTATTGTTCGATAGAAGTTTGAGTTTGTGCCTAAAGAATTCTTTAGGCGAAAATGTTATGGGTTCGATGGACACTATTGTGTGTTCTGGTAATGCTGTGTAGTTTGGATATGTGACGGAAGGTTCTTTCATCATTCGATGAACCTGAAAAAAATAAAAAATAAAAATTATTAATATTTCTTATATATAATTAATAAACTCTTCTGTAATGATGTATGTTAATATACTCCTCCTAAAGGATTATTCGGATTTTGATAAATCTTTCTGAAGTTTGTAAAGGATTTTCTTCAGGATGTATGTGCAGTAAAAATATAGTTATATTGTTAAAATAAATGGAAAATGTGGCCAAAAACGACATGTCATTGTTTGACATTGAAAATATTTGAGACATTTCAATTTACCTATGTGACTTATGTGACAATTTACTTATCTAGACAATATTAGAATAGGTATAATAAATTCATGATTCTGAATAAGAAAATTGTAATGTCTACGTTGCCAAAAAGCAGCTGAGATGCGCCAGAAATTAAAATAATATAAGATACAGTATATGTATGGCAGATTGAATGATACACATATGAACAGGATTTGACAAATTAATTCACTTAAAATATGAAATTAAGTCATAATCAGGACCGGTCCTACCTTGAATGCGCCAACACAAGATTCGCATTCTAAACGATTATTTGTATTTTGATAAATCTTTCTGAAGTTTGTTAAGGGATTTTTTTTTAGGATGTATGTGTAGTAAAAAAATAGTTATACTGTAGAAATAAATGGAAAATGTGGCCAAAAACGACATGTCATTGTTTGACATTGAAAATATTTTGGACATTGTTTTGCATTGAAAACAAATGAAAACTGTCATCTGCCAAAAATTTCAATTTACTCATGAGTCTAGACAATAGCAGGATATGTATAATAAATTCATGATTATTAGAAAATTATAATGTCTACGTTATTATTGCCAAAAAGCAGCTGAGATGTGCCAGAAATTGAAATATTATAAGAGAGTATGTGGATGTGTAAGGCAGATTGAATGATACACATATTTTTTTTTTTTTTTTTGCATACTTTTATTATCAATCAAAATTAAATACATTTTTTAAGACAATGTGATGTTGGTTTTAATGCATATAAGAGATTATCTCCTATGAGATATCTCTCTTTTATATTTTTATTTTTGACATTTATTTAAGGTCGAATGGCCATTTTTTTTTCAATCTGCGTGTCGGATATTCCTCGCTTAACTCTTTTAAATAAGTGTTTGGGTGACCTGGTAGTTTTTCATGGTATCTTTTGCTCCTTTCTTTTAACATTTCATTAATAGTTTTTATTTTTAAGTCTTTATGTAGGGTGTCATTTGTAACATACCAGGGTGCGTTCACAATGCATCTTAAAATTTTTGATTGCGCTACTTGTATTTTTTTTATATTTGAATTGCTTGCGCACGCCCATAGCTCAATGCCGTATGTCCAGATTGGGATAATTATTGTTTTATATATAAGGAGTTTGTTTTCATAGCACATAGAATGATACACATATGAACAAAATTTGATAAATTAAATCACTTAAAATATGAAATTAAGCAATAATCAGGGCCGGTCCTAAGTTGAATGGCACGCCTTAGGGAGCGCCAACACATGATTCCGATATGAAATTTTTCAATATAATTCAAGAAATATATAATTTCTTTGCATCTTTTACTAATAGTTGCACAATATTTTTGAAATACGGTAAAAATTTCACTTTAAAACAACAAAATGGGAAAGTAAAGATGAATACATACAATTCGGATCTCACGAAATCAATTAGAAGAAGTTTAAGATGCAATTTTGAATATCTTAAATAATAAAAAAATAAATTAAAATAATCCAACATGAAGTACCAGTGCTATGTTATGGTTATGTTTAATAATGAATAGCTAGAATTTTTTTGCTCTCTATGATTTGTTCAATAGAATAGATCGCATAAAATGCCCGAAATAAATAAGTAAAATAAATAATAATTTTAATAAAAAACTGTTAAAACAGGTAAAATAATCGGAGGGGGGGGGGGCACTAGAAAAAAAATTGCATGCGGGCACTCGACAATCGGCAATCATTGGCACTCGACTCTTATCTTATCGACTCTTATCTGCCGTAACGACTTCCGTTGCATTTGTACGGAATTTACACCCTAGTCGCGCCTAAAGAAGTTTTACTTCAATAAAAAAACTTTAATTAACTTGGTTAATTCCACACTTGACTACTTCCACACCTTGATTGTCATCGAATAGATTGATTGTTTAAGACATTATTATAGTAATTTATATCTTATGTAGGACTTGGTGTTAATAAATCCTACCATGTGCATGGTGTAAGATCTAACAATCATCATTTAACTAATAATCTCACATTATTTTATTGTCTACAAAGTAATAATCATTCATTCATTCATTCATTCATTCATTCATTCATTCATTAATTCATTCAATTAAATTCATGCGTTCATTATAAAAAAAAAGTTTGCTGACAATTGAGGAATAGAAAACCATACGAAATTTGAAAAACGCGGCATCTGTTATATATCAAAGCGACTGGGTAAATGTCTCATCTTTCTAAAATCATACTCTATGCTTCAAATGTCAAATAATAAATGCATGTGAAGTTGAAGTCATTTAACATTATTTTTATATTGTCTAGGTTATTTAACGCAAAACAATTTAAGATTTAATATCATTTGAAAGATTATTAAATTAATTAGATTATTATTAAGCACACAAATATTCTCGTAAATGTTTGCTGAGTTTACGCCGTGAAAATATTTAAAAATGTCAGAAGAATCAATTATGTCTTTGAATGACCATGCACTTAAAATTGAACCACCAGATTATTTAGAAGAAGACATTAAACGCGAAGTTGAAGAATTTGATGTTATTGATGATATTGTTAAGTCTGAATCCTGTTCTGAAGAACAGGATGATGACACGTGTTTAGAAAGATTCATGAATTCTGAAGTGATGATAGAAGAGGAAGTCAAACAAGAGTCAATCGAGACATCCGCTTATGAATGTAACATTTGTAACATATCATTCGTAGAATCACATCATTTTAAAGAGCATATGGTCAATCACAAGCCTAGTCATAGCGAAGAACGCCCTTTCAAATGCAAAGTCTGTCACAAGACTTTCAAACTACCAAAAGGGTTGATATCACATATGATTACGCATTCTGAAGAACGTCCCTTCAATTGCACAATTTGCAATCAGGCATTCAAACAATTGGTTGTTTTAAAAAAGCACATGTTTATTCACAGTGGTGAGCGTTCCCATGAATGCAGTATATGTAATAAGACATTCACAGAATTAGGTAATCTCAAAAGTCACATGCACATTCACAGTGGTGATCGCCCCCATGCATGCAGCATATGCAAGAAATCATTCACCCAATTAAGTCGTCTGAGAAGTCACATGATGATGCACAGTGGAGTACGCCCTCATGAATGCAATACATGCAACAAAACATTCACAGAATTAAGTAAGGTAAGCATACACTATTCTGGGATAGTACATTTTTATAGGAGTTTTTCATTTGGATAATATAAATTCAATAATATAAATTTTATGTATAAATGTGTAACTTTTAAATATTTTTTTAGTTTTTCAAAGTACCGATGGCTTCAAATAAATATTTGCCCGAAACCCTAGAAAAGGCTTTAAAAGAAATTCGTGATGGTACTTTATCTGTGTACAAAGCTTCCAGAACATATAAAATCCCCAATCAAACCTTATATGATAAACTACACGGAAAATACAAAAAGCAAGGGCGAGCAGGAGCTCCAGCAGTGCTGACCCCCGAAGAAGAAAACCTTATTGTTGAATGGGTTATAACGATGGCTCAAATGGGTTTTCCTGTAACCAAAGACATTTTATTACATTCTGTCCATAAACTGGTTGCTGAACTCGGTCGGTCTAACAAATTTAAAGAAGGATATCCAGGTCGGCATTGGTATGAGGGTTTTCTTAGAAGAAACCCTGTGATTAGTAAAAGACTATGTCAACCCTTGACTACGGCTCATGACTGTGTGAGTGAGGTCAAAATTAGGGCATGGTTCAAGCAAGTTCAGCAATATTTTCAAGAAAATGATTTTAGTGAGCTGTTACAAGACCCATCTAGAATATTTAATTGCGGCGAATCTACATTTTCTCTGTGCCCAAAAGGTCAAGCTGTTTTGACTAAAACAGGTTCCAAATCTGTACATTGCAAATCGGATAATAATGACAAGGAATGCCTTAATGTATTGATCGGCGCTTCTGCAGATGGGAAGTTGATGCCAATTCTGTCATTATTTCCATATAAGAGGATACCATCCAACATATTGGCAAAATACCCGAAAACCTGGTCCATAGGCAAAAGTGATAATGGGTGGATGACCAGTGAAAACTTTTTTGAGTATATTGGAAATGTTTTCAATCCTTTCCTTATAAACGAAAATATTGAAAAACCAGTTGTTTTATTTTTGGATGGTCATGTTTCGTATTTATCCTATCACCTGTGTAAATTATGTAGAGAAATTGGCATTATTTTAGTTGCCTTATTGCCCAATTCACCTCATATTTTACAGCCTATGGACGTAGCGGTTTTTGATAGCTTGAAAAGTGCCTGGAGTAGAAATGTATATTCTTGGCGAATAGAGAATAATGCACGTCGTTTAAAAAGAGAAGATTTTGGACCGATTATTAAGAAATCTATTGATGAGGCAGTAACAAAAGCGACAATAAGAAATGGTTTTCGCAAATGCGGACTATACCCATTTGATGAAAACGCTATTGATTACAGTCAACTTATCAAAAATACTACTCCATCATCTAACTCAGATTTGCCAACAAGTTCAATAGGTTCATTAACACCAGGTCCATCAACATTACAAAGTTCAAATAATTTTGTTGCACTTTTTGAGGCACATTTGGGAATGGCAAAATTAAATGCATTTCAAAATTGCTATGGAGAGTGGAATGGGGATTTAGAAGATACAAGTTTATATAACTATTGGAAAAGCATTAGACAAATTTATTCAAATCCTCCCAATCATATTGTTCCTTCTCTAGAGCACTTGGGTGACTCTACGATAGATGCAAATAATCATACACTTTCAGAAATTACTTTAGACTGGCCAAATGAGAACTTGACATTGGATGGAATCGAAGAACATAGTACCGTAATATAGTGCTCAATGCCTGCGACAATGAACAGCAAAGCAACAAGCTCAAAAATTATTGATAGAGAAGATTTAGAATATGAAATATTATTATTAATTGATAAACAAAATGATACAAATTCAAGTACTGAAATAGCCAGGAATTTTGAATATATGCACTATTATAGAAAATGCTGCTAATGATTTGTCCAAGAAAGAAAACATGACCGAAGAAAATAAAACAGTTCATCCCTTACTTTTAGAAAATGCAAATAAGACTGAAGCAACTTCACCACGAACTCTTTCTACAGATTTACATAAGACGCAACCCTGTTTTCTGATCCCGTTCAAATCTGAAAATTTGCATGATGATGCATAATCAAGTATGCCCTCATAAATGCAGTATATGCAATGAGTCATTCAAAAAATTAGATGATCTGAAATGCCACATGCTGATGCATAATGGAGAAACCCCCTATGAATGTAGTATATGCAATAAGATATTCACACAACAAAGTAATCTGAAAAGACGCATGCCGGTTCATTATGGAGAGCGTCATTAATCATTGAAGTGTTACTGAGTAGAAATTAAATTTAAGTAGATGTAGAACCACCACTCTTCAAACATAAAAAGAATTATCATTCACATATCTTGCTTCCATTTGTTAAAAACAGTAGAAAATGATTATGTACTAAATCCAAAATTATATTTTTTATACCAAAATTTATCTCATGCTAAGTTATGAATAAATGATAATTATTTATCAAACTGTTCTATTCTTATATATATAAAATTTTTCTGTGATTAGGTATGTAAATATTCTCCACCTAAACGATTATTCGGATTTTGCTAAATATGTCTGGATTTTGTTATGGGAATTTTAGAATTGTAGAAATAAATCGAAAAAATTGCAAAAAACTACATGTCAATATTTGAGACATAATTTGGCATTGAAAACAAATGAAAACTGTCATTTGCTAAAAATTTCAATTTACTTATGAGCCTAGATAATATTAGAATATGTATTAGAAATTCATGATTACGAATGAGAAAAATGAAATGTTCACATTATTATTGCCAAAAAGCAGCTGAGTTGTGCCAAAAATTAAATTAATATAAGATACAGTATATGTATGGCAGATTGAATGATGCACATATGAACAGGATTTAACAAATTAATTCACTTAAAATATGAAATTAAGTAATAATCATTAATTACATTAACATCGCTCATATTAATGTATATGCACTTTGGTGTGAAGAGTAATTTTAAAAACAATAATTATTATTTTTAGGTAAACGGCAAATATTAGAATAGGATATTTAAAAATTGTACAGGACAACGTCTGTCGGGTCATCTAGTAAATATATAAAGTTATTTGTTTTAGGACCAATAGCTTTCTTGATTATTTAACTTCCCATATTTTATTTAAAAAACTGTGAAATTGTTCAAGAGTTTTACCTTATGGTATTCAGGATACATATTTTCAGGTAATTGTTTATCCAGGCCCGTGAACTGATGCCTGAATACATGAATTACAGGAATGTTTCTAGCTCTGGCAGCAATTACAGCGTCGGCTGAACTTAGTCCTGCTCCGAGGATCAAAACCGGAGCCATATCTATAAAAAATAAAAGAAAAAACATAATAATCTATCTATCGTACTATTTCTAGTTGTGAAGTTTTTACTATTTTTTTTAATTATTATTACCTTTAACGTTTTCTTCGTCCAGGTCCTCGATCTGACGCTCAAAGTCGCGAACATCATGCGTCAACCAGCTTCTATTTTCAGTATTCAATTCACCAGGAATTCCCAAAGAATTTGGCAGATCTGAGGATCCTGATGCCAATACCACATTTTTGCATAAATAGTGGAATGGTTCAAACGTTAGTAGATCGTATCTGAAAAAAAAACATGGGAAAATTTCATAAATAAATTATGATCATGAGATGATATTAATTATGTTCCTTACCCCGTAACACTCCATAAATTAGCAACCCCGCAGGATTTCCGTCTACAATAATATTTTCCTTTACTCTGCACCGGTTTGATGCCAACAACACAGGTATTATTTTTAAAAAATCGTTGTAAACCTTGTTGTTTAACATAGTGCTCATAATACTTAGCCACCTGCCAAACAGGAGCCCTATTGCTAGACTTATTATCTAATTTTCTATTGGTTTTTGTTACATCTTCGAGTATTATATTTTTATCTTCGATTTCTATAGATTTACTCCTAGAGCCTGTATTGCTTTGGTGTAGATGTCTTTGCTGCTCGTTCAGGGGCGAAGTTTCTTCTAACCAGGTGTTAAAGTCGTATCCTGGTAATGACATCCAATTTCCGAGGGATAGAGTTAGGATGTGAGGATCCATAAAATGCCAGGAGCCACCAGGATTACCTTTGCCTAGGACGACGTGATCGATCTGGAAAAAAATCAAATCAAATATTATAAGACATCCTTATAAGACTGTCAGCTTGGTATCAAGCAGTATGATTTTTTTAGTATAAGTTAATAGTATAAATTATAATTTATTTACCATTTTATCTGGATCGTATCGCCAATCCAGCATTGAAGGCAATTCCATTCCTAAATCTGCTGATGGATATTGTAGATTGTCCAACTGTAAAAAATATATATTAATATTAGTGGTGCATATCATCGTGCCTTAAGACAAATTTCTGGAACTTCCCAGAATTAAATATTTGAGGAGAAAAAATCAGTAATCGATAAATATTGATCAATGATTAATAACAATTGTTTTAAACATTTTCAAATAGATAATTATAATCACTATATATTTTATTGTTCATAAAATATACAACGACAATCTTATCGCTCAAAGCACTTGAGAAAGTTTACATTAGCAAGAGGTGCCGAATAAATCCATCTGAGGATATATTTCTAACGATTAGAATAACCCATTTGAATTCCTATATACATTTTCAAACTGAATTGTAAATTTAAAATTCATATTTAAAGTATAAAACTTTGTATATTTTTGAAAATTTAGTTTTTTTTGAAAATTTTGAAATTAGCTTGAACCGTATATAAGTAAACTTTAAAAATTAAAAATCTTGGCACGGAACCCAACAAAATTGTAACAAAATTATTACTCATTTTTAAAAACTTTATCAAATATCTGATAATTTGATGAGTATACGCCTAATGTTCATTTTTGACCGCCAAATATGTTTTTTTTTTTCACTTTTTTCTCTGTATCTCCGAAACCCCTGGACCTGCCTTACCAAAAATTTTATAAACTATTCATTTTGTCATTACAAGCAATATGTTTTTTGAATCATTCAAATCGGGCGCTCCGTTCTCTCAAAAACTAATTTGCCGTTTATGGCACTTTTTGCCCCGTGTCTTCAAAACGGCTGAACCTGCCTTGGCCAAAAACTAATCAGCACGTCTTCTCATCAGTAGAAATCGAATGTTTTTTAAAAAATTTAAATCGGTTGATCCGTGCGCCCAAAATCGTGGACGAAAAATTGTATCCAAACATACATACATACATACACACACACGCACATCCATTTTTCCTAAGATATGCCACCATTGAAACGTAAAGATATATAAAAAAATTTATTTTCGATTTAATGATAATATCTCATGAATATTGTAAAATAAATAAAATTAGTGCCTGAATAGTATCTGTACTGTGTAAGATTTTCTAAAAGTATTAAAAATTATCTCAATTTTTAATAAATAACGACCAATGTCAAAGATAGTGCTAAACTATAAAATACTTCATGATAATTCATAATTAATTTCTACGTTATTATCAATTATTACGTTTAGTATAGTGAGTTTAAAAAATTATTTTTCTTTCAGACCAACCTAAAAATAAGTTCTTACTAACATTCAGATGAGAAAGAAATTGAGGTGGCCCATTTAAAAAATGGAATTTATCGATAGCAACTTGCCCGTAGGCCACACCGTGCAGAATTCGAAGTTGCGATATATGTGAAAAAAAACTAAGAATTTCAAGAAGACCTTTCTAACGATGTATAATACTTTATATGTTTTCTTTACAGAAATATCTAAACCGTAAGATCACTAGATCACTAGGACCACTAGATGTACCACCCGTTATATAGTATATTTTTTAGCATATGTTTCAACTTACGTTTTTCTAATCTATAGCCCTACTCAATAACTTGCATAAAATTTGTCATTTATCATCTTTTATTTTTACCAGCAAAGAAACAGGATTCGTCGTCCTTCCCTCCAATCCATTTGCGAGTAACTCCAAATCTTGTTCCGCAAGAGAGACATCCCGAGGTGCACAATTGAGACGAGCCTCCAGCAATTCGTCTGCATGAGGTGCTCTGTCAGTTTTGCAATATGCTCTATTTCCAGCCAGCATAAAAGACAAAGATATGCCACTGGGACCATTACCTAGAAAATAAATATTAAAATTAACAAAAATGTAAAGGATAATATATAGAAGAAAAGGCAGTGTTTTAGAATGGAACACAGGGAGCTTCCTATTCATCCACAAAACCAAGCTGCAACAAAAATTAAATTTAAAGATGCAAATATCCAAAAACGATTTTTCTTATTAAAACTTAATGAAAATATACAAATTACAATATGTTTGTATTACGGAGACATTTAGTAATTTTTTGATATTTCAGTATATGGTCCTGTTTGGCAAATAATTTAGTAATTGTCCAATCTTAGTTGTGAAATATTATAACAGTAATTTTTGACTTCGTGGTTTCTATATATAGCAATATTCCAGAAAGAATGTTCTCACTTGACATTAATTTGGTATAATACTGGTTGATACCAAGGTCTAGGCAGTTCAAAAAGGATAAAATGGAGATATCTTCTAGAAATTGATGAAGGCAGTCTGCTACCGTTAATATTTAACTAACTTCCCTTAGGTTAAGTTATTGTATTCGTCCAAAAATCAAAATTGAAGATTTTTGGATAACTTTACGTTTCAGAGGTTTCTAAACATTTTGGCATATCTCAGATAATATTAATGTGTGTATTAGGGTGGTCCTTAATATGGACATTTTCGAATTTCTTTGCTCCCAAGGGCTCAAACACTCCCAAAGTAATAAAAAAATAATCACTAATAGATTTAGCTCTTAATATTAACATTTAGATAGACCGAAGTAAATTTTTGCGCTACCTGTGATAGCATTTGTAAACTTAAATATTATGACAAAAATATTTATAATTTACTTAACCCCTAATTAAATCCATGTGGGCTGTTTAACGAAATATTTATTCATCATGGCACCAAAATTAATTTTGCAGAAAAATATTTACTTAATTGGTGATGTAGATACTCAAATTATCAGTAATAAATTGCCATCAAAACTACAAGTGCTAAAAGTCTGTTATCACAGATGGCGCAAGAATTTAAATGAAACTTTTAACTGAAGTGCGGTCTATCTAAATGTTAATATTAAGATCTGAATCTATTAGAGATTATTTTTTTGGATTTGAATTTGGAAGCATTTGAGCCCTTGGGAGCAAAAAAAATTCGAAAATGCCCATATTAAAGACCACCATAGTGTGTATGGTTGGATACAATTTTTTGACGATGTTTTGGGGCGCATCTCTTAACCTGATTCAATTCGAATTCGATCCATACTTATGGGGATTAGTGCTGATTAGTTTTTGGAAAAGGTCGGTCCAATTGATAGAAATTAAGTTTTTGAGAAAATAGAGCATCCGATTTTTTGATTCAAAAAATATTCAATTCGCAGGGAAGAGAAGATATGGTGATTAGTTTTTGGCAAAGACAGGAATAGACGTTTCAGAGTTAAAGAGATAAAAGTGTGAAAAATAGCAGTTTTTGAGAGAACAATTATCAGATTCGAATAATTCAAAGGCAATTTTTTTTAGTTCAAGATTTAAAAAATTGCTGGAACTTCCCGTACTAAACTATTATTTTTTTTTTTAATTAATTTTTTTTAAACTTTGAAAATATAAGATTTTTGAGAAATTTTTGATCAAAGTGACTTTTTTGGAAAAATAACACTTTATGCAAAAAAATTTTTTCTTTATTTTGAAATATTTTTAAAACTTTGAACTCATTTTCAATCGTACTGATTTAGCGGCATCGATTCAAAATATCGAGGCGCCTAAGCGCCGCGTCTCCGTCTTACGGGCAAACTATGTTACGAAACCCATAATAATGTAAAGAAAATTTATCCGTATTATTAAAATCTCTATAAAATATCTGATAATTTAATGTGCATATGTCTAATGTTCATTATGACCGCCAAATGGCTCATTTTTTTACTTGTTTTACTAGATCTCCAAAACCGCTAGACCTGCCTTCCCAAAATTCAATCAGTTCTTCAACTTGTCAATACAAGTAAAATGTTTTTTGAATTATTCAAATCGGACGCATAGTTCCCTTAAAAACTGAGTTACCATTTTTGGCACTTTTTGTCCCGTATCTTTGGAACGGCTAGACCTGCCTTCGCTAAAAACTAATCAGCATGTCTCCTTATCAATACGAATCGAATGTTTTTTGAATTATTTAAATCGGTTGATCAGTGTTCCCGAAATCGTCGACAAAAGTTTGTATCCGCACACACACACACACACACATACATACATTTTTTCTAAGGTATGCCAAAATGTTCAGAAACCTCTGAAACGTAAAGATATATAAAAAATTTCATTTTAGATTTTTTTTGCGATTACTATAACTTACCCACATAAGTTACGGTATTTATAAGAATTTATTTATAATTCCTCGAAAATTTTATTACAGTGCGGGAAGTCTCAGCAATTTGCCTTAAGGCACGATGCCATACACCACTAGTTAGTATAAAAATGATTCGAATTTAAATTTTTATTCTAGCTAAAATTCTAAAACTCATTTATATACTTGTAATAATTTTTACTTTACAATTCACGTATATAATTTTTGGAAATATGAGATAAGTTCTATTTGTTTGATCAAGTTTTGTATTCATGTAAACATATATAAACGTAGTTTAGTAAACGTAGTTTATCGAGTTTGGGGCTCGATATAAGGCAAATAATAGAACACGTGAGGGCGTAAAACTTTCAAAACCCAATGAACTGTACACGGGGCTTATTTACAAGCTCTTATATTTTGTCTTTAAAATACGAATAATGAAAGTTGCAGTATTTGTAATAAATTATTGAAAAACATTTAATATTCCTCAAATTTTCAGTTCCAGGAAGTTCCAGCAATTTGCCTTAAGACACGTATGCCATGCTCCTTAAATAATTGATCAACTACCATCAACAATGTCCGTTACCTTTGACAAATTAATAAGTCCTCCACAAAATTCCTCCACATTCTCCTCCAAACTATTAAAATCGATCGACCCATGATGACATTTAGTTAGAGCATTCATAGCCAAAGTATTTGGCCTCAATATATTTGAGTTTGTGGGGGTTTGGGGCTCGATATAAGGCAAATAATAGAACACGTGAGGGCGTAAAACTTTCAAAGCCCAATGAACTGTACACGGGGCTTGCAAATTGTTATTTATCGATCAGTTTTGGTAACTCGACCGTGCCCACACCTTTATAATACATTATAGAAGTTAGAAACACTCTTTCTTCACGCAAATCTAATTATGATGTGAATAATCAATGTTGTGAAAAATGACACGTTTTTGTAATAAAAATATGATGCAAAAGTAGATGCGCAAATAATGAAAAAAAGTACTTTTCATAAATTCTCCTGATTTCATAATTATTATGTAAGGGGCACCCGATACGTGTGAATAATCTAGTTAATCAATAAGAATTCAAATTTTAGCTATTAGGGGAAAATGGCACGGTGTTTTGTTATTTAATGATTTTATTAACTTCCCGGAGGAGAAGTTTATGTTTTCAACAAAAAATTCAATTCACTAATTTTATGTTTTCTCGACGTTTCAGGTCATTCTGAATCGAATCGAATGAGTATGTGTGTGTAAATGAAATTTCCAGAATTACTGTTTTTTGCTAATTTAAAGAAACTGCTGGAGCAATTTCTTGCAAAAATAATAATCTCTAGTCCTTACCGATTTTTGTCGATCATTATCTCAAATTTCGATAAATTGTTAATATCAAACGACTTGTAATATTTTAGTGTGTTCTACAAGACTATGATCGCAGGAAAATGTTTGAGAATTAATTACGAAGAGACGGCAGAACAGATATTTATCAATATTAATCAGCTCGAGTTCCAAATAATGTCTTTCTGATAGCTTTTATATTTTAAATATCGGTTTATGATATTTGACAAAAAAAATTGCAAATGATTCAAAATGATTTGAAACGTCGAGAAAACATAAGCTTTACTTGTCGGATCTTTTGACAAAAACATGATCATCGAAGCCAAATACGTATTAATTTTGCAAATCCCGAGTGGAAAGGGTTAATAACAATAAAAGTGAAAGTAGTGGTATTCGTTCTGATTAATAAAGTTAGAGTGTAAAATATTATTATATTTACCTATAACTACGACATCCTTATAAACTACATCCGAGGGCAGTCTTGATGCGTTGAATTCCCTCATTTTGTTTGGCAAGAATTTCAAGGGGTAAAATTGTTTAAAATATCACATGTGTGCAAAATTTTCTGTTTCTATTTACTGTTTGCTCTTTTTATTTGTTATTCATTTGATTCGGTCGCACATCATTTTTGAAATATAGTCTTGACCTTTTTATATAACCTGAAAATAAAGAAAATATGGGTTAATATAAATTCGTAACTCTGACTATTGTAGAATAGCTTTAAGAAAAAATAGAGTACAAGTAATATAGATACACATTTGTTAAAATATAGATACATATTTGTTAATAAACTTAAATATAAATTAAAACTTAACACATAGTACATTTCATGCCGATGTGATCAAATCAAAAAGTGCTTTATTCTTTCACATTTTTCATATTTTACACGAGAGGATCATATGTTTCACTATTTGACACACTCAAAAGATCACGTGACTTAAAAATTAAGCAAAAAAGTGATTTGTGGAATTATATTTAGGAAATATATGGTTATTAAAAATTAAACTATATCATTGGTACATTGATTTATAAAAAATACCAAAAAAACTCGTGTGACAAGTAGTCAAACAGTTAGCAAAATTTATCCACTTAAGTTAAAATGAAATGATAATGATAATATATATATATATTTTATATTATAAAATTGAAATACTTCAAAGAATCCTTTAAGCAAATATTTCGTAAAATATTTAACTCTAAATCTATAAAAACTCTAATAAATTAGCAGTACCAAAAAAAAAAGAATATAAAAAATTTTGGTATCAATCATTACATTGAATTAAAGCATTTAGCTTAAATCGTTAAGAAAATCTTAAAAAACGAATAGAAACTAGTTGGTATTGGTATTTTGCCTTGAGGCAAGTTACTTGAACCCGAAATGTGGCAAATGATCGACTTAATCAATAAAAAATATATTAATTTATTAGTGATTGTAAGTATTCCGAGTGGATTTATCACACATCATTGAAAACGTACGAACACGTTAACTTCGATTTTCTAAAAGCAAATTTTCAAAAATCAATAATTTTTATAATTGAACCAGTTTCCGCTAAACTTTAATGGTTCAGTATGTTCATTAATACCAAGTACTCTATCATTATACCAAGTAAATCGTTCCCAACTAATATCTTTCGAACAGTTTCTGATTTTTTAAAATCGATTCGGTAGTATGAGCTCAAATGTGGCGAAAAGTTTAACACTTTTTGCCAAATTACAAAGAAATGACTCGCCCAATCGTCAACTGACAAACGATAGTTCTCATTGAGATACATCAAATGGCCTTTAAATTTCTGAGATCGGCTCAGGCGTTTTTGAGCAAACGTCGATGAAAGGTCTAATTTTGACAAATGCCAAAAAAACGATTCTAATTTTTGCAAACTTTGACGAATTTTTAAAATTAAACGACTTGTCGTAGAGCCGTAATATTTTAGTATGATCTATAAGACTATGGTATCTACCGTAAAAAAATCATAAAAATCGTCAAAAAAATTTTTTTTAACATTTTATTACAAGAAAACGGCTCCGCCAATCTTTATCAAAAACTAATCAGGTCGATTCCCAATCAATATCTTTCAAAAGGTTTTTGAATTTCCAAAATCGATTCAGAATTGCGGGCTAAAACGTGGACAAACAATTTTTCACTTGTCTGCGATTTACAAAGAAACGGCTTGGCTGATCGTCGCGTGAAATTGATAAACGCTAGTCCTCATAGAGATACATCGAATGGTCCAGCCGTTTTTGAGTAAACAACGATTTACAGCAAAAATATCTGTTCTCATATACGAGGTCTGTTCAAAAAGTACCCGGAATTTTCGTTTTTTCAAAAAAATATTTATTTATTCGTCTACATTAATGTGGTCCCCTTCAAAGTAGTCCCCCCCAGATATAATACACTTATGCCAGCGTTTTTTCCAATTTTCGAAGCACCCTTGATATTCACTTTTTGATATGTCCTTGAGCACTCTCAGCGATTCGGCCTTTATTTCTTCAATCGAGGAAAACCGCCGTCCTTTCATGGGTCTCTTCAACTTTGGGAATAGGAAAAAGTCACACGGAGCCATATCTGGTGAATTTTTGCACTTTGCAACACTTTATTTCATTTTTTACGCATAATTTAATACAAATTCTTTGACTTTTCAATTCTTCCATTGTAAAAATCGCCGAGCTCAGAAAAACACGTCGAACCTTAGCGACTACCACAGACAAAGTAAACAGTGAATATAGCTGAAAATTTCATCATACTTTAGGGGCATGTATACCAACACAATAAAAAAAAAATTTTGACAATCAGACACTCCAGACCCGCGAAATTTAATTATTAGTAATTCCGGGTACTTTTTGAACACACCTCGTACACACACAAACATACTTTTTCCTAATTTCTCATTCGATTCAGAATGGCTTGAAACGTCGAGAAAACATAAAAATAGTGAATCGAATTCTTGTTTATGAAAACATAAACTTCTCCTTTGGGAAGTTAAAAAAGATAATAGAAAAATCAGCATGGTTGTCCTAGTTTAAGTTTTTAGCAATTGGAGGCCTAACAATTTGGTAACAAAATAAAATGAAAAAAAGTATTTTCAAAAGAAATTTCTTAGTTTTTTAAATAAAACGTGTTTTAATATTTCGACCTCCAAACAGATTTTTTCGCATTTTTTAAGAAAAAAAGTTCTCAGCGGGCACCTTGATCGTATTGCAAATGTTTCGTTTTGTTATACGATACTATAATTGCGCAACGAAACAGGTTATTCAAGACTTTGTTGTCAGTTTTGTGTTTGTAATTAGAATCTTTTCCGTTTTTTGCTATGCAAAGTCTGGGAAAAAATCAGGATTGGCCAGAGGAGGACACAGATATAGATAATTGATACATACTAAATTGGACACATATTTTAAAACAGGATATTCTGAATCCTGTGGTTGCTAGACCAAAGCTCGTACCTCCAAGCCACAACAAGCCCCATACTATTATTAATTGTTTTATTGTATTAATATTTCTCTAATTATTCTTATAATTTTCGCACAAAACCAGAAAACCTTGACAGTGGCCTTGTATTCGGATAATGAAGAAACCATCCATCGATGCAGATGTATAAATAACGTCGCAGCAATCGTATTATTAATAGAATTTCTAGTTTGTGACTACACTATTCTACTCTATAAATCATAAATAATTAATTGATAAGCAATATAAATAAGTAAGGCCACTTATCTTTGAAATATTAATCGCAGAACATTTGCTATGACCTCTGACATTGAGAATTCTTGATGCGATAATGGACTCTTGACAAAGGATATGGAAACTTAGACTAAAAGTCAATAAATAGCTTACTCAACTATATTTTCTAATTAATATTTTGTGCGCAGTTTGTCAAAAACCAGTAAATAATGCAAACTAAGAATCTGCATCATCTAACACGTTTTCAAAGTATGAAAATAAATTTTGTTTAATATACAAACAAAGTACTTCAGTTGCTCTCACTTGTCAGTATTTTTCACAACTTCTCAAAGAAGTTTGTTTTCGCTAGAAAAATTTATTTGCTAATTTTACGTTTCAAGTCATTTTGAATCCTTTGATATAAAAGTATGAGTGCTAAACTTATAGACCTTCTTAAAAACGGGTACATAAATTTCAAAATTTTTGAAGCCATTTTGATGAAACAGGACAATTTTCGCCAAAGGTTTTTGCCAAAAATCCTCAACAAATTTTGAAAATTCAATAACTGAGATAAATTTTGTTATTTGCTATTAACTGTTTGAACATCTTAAATAATATATATGAATATGTTTGATGCTTTTCTTTGTGCATTTGATTTTTTTTAAACTTGTTCGTTTTGTATTTTATTACATTTTGTGTCAAGTAACATTGTTTTTCTGTAACTGCATATTTGAACTATTTTAGTGATAGTGTTGTCTACTAGAAAAATCTCAAACACATGCATTTTTACAAAAGCAATTTCAATTTATACGATACTTAAAATCAACTACTTATCTTTTTAGTTGTGAATTATCTTTAATAGTTTTTGGTAAAAAACGAGAATCATAATTTTTAAAAGTAGAGATAACCTTAATGTTGAAATTTTTAAAAGTATCTAAATCTCCATATCGATTATTTGAATCAGAAAGTTCAGGAAACTTAAATCCACTTACACCTAGTTTAAAATTTAGATTTATTACATTACATACTACTTTTCATTCATAAAAAATTAAAGTGGAATCGATGCCAAAAAAATGTAGATTATCAGAGAATAAATTAGTATTTTCACACAGTATTTCTAGTTGGCAAAACTAGAACATAAAATTAAGTCAGAATTATTTCAGTCCCATATGCAAAAATAATTTTGTAGATAATTATATTTCATGCATAACTATATACTAGCTAAACTTACTTAATAGTTCCATAAAATTAGTAAAATAAATATATAAATAAATAAAAAAATAAATAATTATAAAGGAAAATCTCATAAATGTATGATAAAAGTTAAAATGTATTATACGTTAAAAGCAACATCTAAAAAATTGTAACATTGTAAAATTGTGGAAATTTCATTCATTTCATATAAAAAATATCCAATCTTCTGCTTTTCTTAAACATATTGTTTGCTTAAATCTAATCAAGGTCGTGTTTCTTGACAGATGTCCTGAAGATGGAACGTACTTAGTTCCGAAACGTCGGCAATAAATAAATAAAGAAATGTTTTTTAAAAAACTTTTTTATTTTTTATTACTTTTTGGATTCTTTGTTCGAAGCTCTGCAAAATATTTACAAATCCAAGAATGTGCCAACTAATGTATTTATATATATATATATATATATATATATATATATATATATATATAGAATATATAAATAAAATATATAGAATATTTAATAAAATATTCATCAGCCGACAGTTTATAAAGTGTGGGAGAAACGACATATCAAATATATCATCGACTATTAATTTTATTGTCATCATTATTAATTATTTATATTTCTTTGAAACATTACTAATTATATATTCTAGAATATTAAATTACATATACACTGATGTATAGATATTAATAATGCAATATAATTAGCGTTACGATTGATAAAATATATTCCAATTTGTGAAGATACTGGTAAATTATAGAAAAAAATGTGATAGATAATTTAAACATTATTTTCACACAACATTTA